TCGCCATAACTGAATTGTGGGTGTTAGCAGCGATGTCTGTGACGAGGGGTGGGCAACTTACGTGGTGACACGGAAATATTGACCCCACGTCGACATGATGGGCGTTCAAAGATGGTCGCAAAGTATTGAAGGAAGATTATAATTTGAAAAACCCCGAAATCAATAAAAACAGTGGAATGAAGAGAGAACAAGGGTGATGACTGACCGCAAGTAGAAAAAAGTAAATTGGAAATCGACTCATCGCTGAGATTCCTATCTGGGACTAGCGCAACCGACTATCGGCCCATAACTTTCGTGATGCGATCAATAACTTCGTCCACCCTTGCTCCAATGCTCGCCCTTCGAGGATGTTCCTCGTCTTCGGCACTTTGGACTAACCCACTGAAGCATGGCTGGATCCGCCATAATTCATCATATCCCGCTCACCAATTCGCCGAGCTCGCCAGCCGTCCCTCCTCTTTACACCAGATCTACCAATCGCTATCAACAGATCCCTATGTGAACCTTTCGATCGAGCACTTCCTACTAGAAAATGCCCCAGCAGAGTCTAGCATTCTGTTTCTTTATGCCAATCGACCATGTGTAGTCATTGGTCGCAACCAGAACCCATGGCTTGAGACAGATCTCCGCGCACTTCATAATGACCGCAGGAACGGCACGACTGGAGAAGACGAAGCTGCCGTATTCGTGCGTCGGCGGTCAGGTGGCGGAGCTGTCTTTCACGATGAAGGAAACTTGAATTACAGTGTTATATGCCCGCGTACCTCGTTTACGCGCGACAAGCATGCCGAGATGGTGGTGCGCGCACTTCATCAGGTCGGGGCTACCAATACTAGTGTCAATGACCGGCATGATATTGTCATGGCCCGAGCAGAGGAAATGCAAAATGATCCCAACGAGCCTCTGACACGCAAGGTCTCTGGCTCTGCGTTTAAGCTCACTCGACACCGGGCCCTCCATCACGGCACTTGCTTGCTCGATTCCCCGAATATTCATGATCTTGGCCGGTACCTGCGATCATCCGCCCGCCAGTATATCCTGGCCAAGGGTGTTGAAAGCGTTCGTTCCCCGGTCGGAAATGTCTCGGCCGCGTTGGCCGACTCGTTCTTTTCCATGCAGGGCGTGGTTGAGAGTGTGATCGAGCAGTTTGCTCGGCTCTACGAGGTACATCCTGATGCTGTTCTCAGGGCCCAGCGTGCTCATGCCAATGAGCCTGAAGTCTTTGCTGGAGATTCTTGGGTAGCTGGTACAGTGGGAGAAGTGCAAGGCGAGCAGGTACCTGCCATTGGGAAAGGAATTGCCGAATTGCGCTCATTGGAGTGGAAGTATACCCAAACACCGCGGTTCACTTTCTCAACGTACCCCATCGAGGAAGACCCCCGTGAACGGCCGCCATTGCCCTCCTCGCTCCCCTCAAGTACTCGTGCATTCCTCCGTCTGCAGCATGGCGCTATCGTCGAAAGCCACATCTCTGTCTCACCTGACGAGTCCACCGCATCTGACCAAGCCAGTCGCGTCCATTCAGCACTAAACGGACAGAAGCTGCATGAGATTACCTTCGCCCGGTGGACCGAGATCCTAAAGCAGGGTCTTGGTGAGACCGAGGGAGTTGATGATGCTCTTGTGAAAGAGCTGGGCCGATTCTTGGGAGGCCTTTTGGGTGGTTAGTTGTCCAATTGCATCGGTGCCATGCAATTTGTGACGTGTATAGATATTGAATACCCTTGGGCTCTATGTACAAACAATAATACCATGATATCCTTTATGAACAAGAGCCACATTATTGGTTGTTTTGCCTCTCTCCCTCATTGGTGGAAGATAATTTCTCCACTTATCAGATACAGCCTATGTATTTCGAACAGACTAGCCTCCTGTCACTGATGATCTCCCCACGTTACGTCGACCGGCTAAATCCAAACCCCACGCCAGCCCCAGGATTCCCTCAGAAACTACGCACAGCCCTTCCAACTGGCTGAATCGGGATTCTCAGCGAATTTTGATTCGCACCAAAATGGCCCCAGATATTACTATACGTCGGCATAGTCACGCGAACCCCGATATCAAGTGCCTATTAAGCAACTAATAATCGGCGATTAACCCGATGTCAATCTTTATAAAACCTACAACCACCCTATCAAACAAACAAAAGCTACAGCGCAAACTCCTTATAGCCTCTAGGCATACAGACTTACGATGTCTATCCACGCTAACGGCCGAACCCCCTCACAGGCCTTCAGCAAATCCCCCTTCCGCACCAGATCCGATCTACAAGAAGCATGCCGCGCCATTCTCGACCCGCTAGTACCCCTCTTTACAGCAGGCGGCACACGCGTCAAAGTAGGCACATCGACGACACGATTTGATGAAGGCGGCGCCCAGATCGAGGGATACGCCCGCCCGCTATGGGGTCTAGCCTCACTGCTGGGTGGCGGATATGAATACGCCGAGGCCGAGCGCTGGCGCCAGGGAATCATCAACGGGACTGATCCCGAGCACCCGGAGTTCTGGGGCCATATCGAGGACATGGATCAGCGCATGGTGGAAATGTGTCCAATTGGGTTTGCGCTTGCTGTTGCGCCTCATGTCTTTTGGGATCCATTGACGGAGAAGCAGAAGGCCAATGTTGGTAGTTGGTTGGCGAGCATTAATGCGCGCGAGATGCCGAATACGAATTGGTATGTTATGGCTTGATCTGCTCAGGATGGTCTTTTGTGGGCGTGGATTGAATGAGTTGGCTAATTATGGTCGGGATGATTTTAGGCTGTGGTTCCGCGTCTTTGCAAACTTGGGCCTCAGAAAGAATGGCGCTGAGTACTCTTTGTCTCGTATCGAGGCTGATATGGACCATTTGGATACCTTCCATGTTGGCGGGGGATGGAGCAATGATGGGCCTAAGAGTCATCATCAGATGGATTACTACTCAGGCTCGTTCGCCATTCAGTTCTTGCAGCTTCTTTATTCGAAGCTGGCCGGTGACTTTGATCCTGACCGTGCTGAGCGCTATCGCCAACGGGCACGGGAGTTTGCTAAAGATTTTGTACACTACTTCGATCCTAACGGTATGTCTCGGGCGGGCCTTTCTGATATGACCCTCTCTCTTCTTTTAGGGTGTGAGTTGGTCCTGACTAGAACTACTACCATATAGGCAGTGCCATCCCATTCGGACGCTCTATGACCTACCGATTTGCCATGGTTGGATTCTGGGGTGCATTAGGCTTCGCAGATGTCGAACTACCGGAGCCACTGACATGGGGCGTGGTGAGGGGAATTATGCTTCGCCATTTCCGATGGTGGTCTACGCAGCATGACATGTTCAACAACGATGGCACCTTGAGTCTCGGCTACTCGTACGCTAACATGTACCTAACGGAGAATTACAATTCCCCCGGGTCACCGTACTGGTGCTGTCTCTCGTTCACCCCGCTGGCACTACCGGAGACACATCCATTCTGGTCCGCGCAAGAGGAGCCTTACCCAAGTTCCTCTTTGCCCGAAGTGCTGGCGCTCAAATACCCCAAACATATTGCCATCCGTCGTGGTGGACACTCGTTCCTGCTGTCATCAGGCCAAGCATGCCACTACCCCCTGAAAGCGACACAGGCCAAGTATGGCAAGTTCGCATACAGTTCTGCTTTTGGATACTCGGTTCCGACGGGTGGCTACCAGCTGGAGCAACACGCCCCAGACAGCATGCTTGCGTTGTCAGACGACGGCGGCGATATCTGGCAGACTAGACGGCTGGCCCTCGATGCGCGTTTCGAGAAACCAGAGCCCAATGGCCAGCCTATTCTTGTGTCTGGTTGGAAACCGTGGCCAGATGTTGATATTGAGACGATTCTCATTCCGCCGACAGAAGAAACTGAGAACTGGCATCTGCGCGCTCACCATGTGCGCACCGGTCGCGCGTTGCAGACCTCCGAAGGTGCCTTTGCTATTTACGGATGTCGCACCGATAATGGTCGTACCTTAGGACCTATGACTGGGGATGATTCTGAGGGGACGATGCATGACAGCCGGAGCGGACTTGTGGTTTCATCGGCTGGGGCTGTTGGCATCGCCGAGCTCCATTCGGCTATTGGGCGGGCTGGTCGGATCGTCTTGGCTGATCCGAACTCTAATATCATTCACGGACGCACGCTTTTGCCGTCGCTTTCGGTGGACTTGGCAGCTGGTCAGGATTGTTGGTTCGTCTCGGCCGTTTATGCTCTGCCAGACCATCAACGGGATTGGAAGGCGGCTTGGGAGAAGAAGCCAGTTATTCCAGAGTGGCTACAGAAGAGGATAGAGAGTACAGATCAGAGTTGATTTCTGGCAGACATTGCAATTTGATATTGTGCAATACAATGAGTCTGGTTTACAGGCAATTAATCACGGAATGCTAATCCTATTCTGTAAACTTTTGCTGCATTGGGATTAGCCCTAGATTTTGAGTTTCCCCGCAGTCCGGGGTAAAATCAACAGCCGACAACTCCAAGCCTTCCAAAATTCTCCTCTCCCTTTGTCGGCTAAAGCTACTTATTCTCCTATAATTTGCCAGGCTCAAATGATCATCGGGAAATCAGCGCATACTACCCTGGAACTTTACCCCCACACGCCTCCCGCGTATCTGAGAGCTGCACGTGAATCAGCTAAACATCTTGGACCAACCCCCAAACACCCTAGCCATGTGAGCAGTAGTAGCTCCCTGCAGCCCGTGTCACCCTTGCTTCGGATTCGTGGATATTTTCATCCATGCCCGCTCGCCTTGTTTCGTGTCCCTACTTTTGTCCCATAGGCCGCTCGGTGGCAAGCCAAGACAACTGGGCTTAGAATTACACCTCCCATAGGCTTGTGGTCTTAGTATCTTTCCATCTTTTATACGTATATCAATAGCCGTCGGCATCTCGAGTTTAGCTTCGTCGTGAGGTGGTCTCAGAGAATTACTATTAAGCTAGCCATTCCCCTCCTCGACTGGAGTCATTGCGATTATCTTGACTTGACTCCTTTTGCTACTATCCAAGATGTCGTGGCTTCTAAAGAAAATTGTGCATAATGAGGCGATGAAAGAGGATCCTAAGGAGATCTATGGGTGGAGGGTCTTCATGCTTGCCTGTTCGGTCAGTCTCTCCTTAGCGATGGCAATGACAATAACGCTAGAAATACAGAGCTAATGCTTCCCAGGCCTGTTTTGGAGGAATGCTCTTTGGCATGGACTCCGGTATTATTGGCGGTGTTTTGACCATGCCAGGATTTAAGAAGTGCGGTTCTCTTTCTGCCCTCTGGCGTCTAGCCATTCTGACCAGTGTCATTGATGCAGGACATACGGCCTGGAGAACATCTCCAAAGTCGCGGCAGCAAATCTATCGGCAAATATTGTCTCCACCCTCCAAGCAGGATGCTTCTTTGGAGCTCTGGTTGCCTCCCCGATAGCCGAGAAATGGGGTAGACGAATGGCCCTAATCGGCGCAGCGGTGGTGGCTGTGTTCGGAATTGTCATGCAAACTGCAGCCAGCGGCCACATCGAAGTCATGTACATCGGACGGTAAGACAGATATTCTCGCCTCTAGTCCTCCACCCACCATTCCAAGCTAACACCCACACCTCCAGACTAATCACTGGCCTCGGAGTTGGTGCCGCATCCATGATCAACCCACTCTACGTCGCCGAGAACGCGCCGCGCGCAATCCGCGGCGGCCTAACAGGTCTATATCAGCTATTCATTACGATGGGCATCATGCTCGCATTCTGGATCAACTACGGCTCGCTGCTCAACATCGAGGGCCCTACAATGTACCTCGTTCCACTGGCAATGCAAGGTCTCCCCGCAGTGCTCCTGTTCTTCGGCATGTTGCTGTGCAATGAGTCCCCCCGCTGGCTGGCCAAACAAGACCGGTGGGAAGAAGCCCGCGCGACTCTCTCCCAAGTGCGCAATCTGCCCTCTGACCACCCATACGTGGAGGAGGAATTCGCGGCCATTGCCACCCAGTTGGAACAGGAGCGCGCACTTGTCGCTGGGTCCGGCTTTTGGGACTTGATGAAAGAGATGTGGCTCATTCCGGGTAATCGCAAGCGCGCGATCATCTCTATCGTCTTGATGATTTGCCAGCAGATGACTGGAACTAATGCGATTAACTACTATGCGCCCCAAATCTGTATGTTGCTCCCATTCCCAATAAACCGTTGAGGAATCGTCCAGCTAACAAGTCGCAGTCCAAAACGTGAGCACGCACTTCTATCTTCAAGCTCCTAAAGCGAAAACACAATGATGCTAACTGCACCCCATATCCAGCTCGGCGTAACGGGCAACGCAACTAACCTCTTCGCAACGGGCGTCTATGGCATCGTAAAGATGGTCAGCTGTGGCGTGTTCCTGATCTTCGTAGCAGACTCGCTAGGCCGACGCCGCTCCCTCCTATGGACCTCGATCGCGCAGGGCTTGGCAATGATGTACATCGGACTGTACGTGCGCATTGCGCCGCCAGTTCAGGGCGCACCCGTCATCCCAGCCGGGTATTTTGCGCTGGTGTGCATTTTCCTGTTCGCGGCATTCTTCCAATTCGGATGGGGGCCCGTCTGCTGGATTTACGTCTCCGAGATCCCGACTGCCAGGCTGCGCTCACTTAATGTTTCTTTTGGAGCTGCTACGCAGTGGCTATTTAACTTTGTTGTTGCCAGGGCCGTGCCGAATATGTTGGCTACTGTTGGTGAAAATGGTTATGGGTGAGTTTGGCTGGTGGACTGGTGCTTTGGATTGTGGGTTTGCTGACCTTGGGGTGTGCAGAACGTATCTTATCTTCTCGTGCTTCTGTTTCTCGATGTGTGTCTTTGTATGGTTCTTTATTCCGGAGACGAAGGGTGAGTCGAGTCCTCTGATAGTATATGATGGTGTCTTTTGCTGACTATGGTGTGCCTATAGGTTTGTCTCTCGAGAAGATGGATGAGCTCTTTGGTGTTACGCAGCTGCTTGAACATAAGAATGCCGACGCAGAGCGAGCCTCTATTGGAAATGGAGTGGACAAGTCGTCACAGGTGCATGTTGAGAGGGTGAATGAGTAAGTTTTACTAGTTTAGGTCTATATGGAATGTCAATGAACGAATGTTGAAAGCAATCAAATTCAAGAAATCAATATTTTAGTATCAAAGAGAATTCACATCTGTCGTCGTAATTTCATAGATATCATCAAAGTACCTGGGTAGTCCACCTCTGGAAAGATATGTACAGCGGCCCCAACACCTCGGAGGACCGCTAAACCCGTCAATATAGAACTAAAAGAAACATTCGCCTGCGCTATGAACCCATGACATTCGCTTGAATCAAAACCGGGAGCCGAAAAAAAAGAAGAAAGAGAAACAGAAAGAAACAGACTGGGTCAATCGGTCAACGCCGTGGCGAGGGCCCATCCAGTCTGCAAGTAATGGCAGGGCCCCAATTTGTCACTGATCAGCAACAGATAGGGGGCATAGAATGGCCAGCGGTGTACGGAACAAACAAAACGAGAAATCTTAAAAAAGAACGGAAAGATGAATGCGAATTGGAAACACAAAATCATCGGACGTAGTTGGTGGGACGCCGACCAAGTAGCCCATGCTGGGTCTGGCTGCGAGTCATGCGGCGGGGAGTAGGATCATCATCCAAGCTCAAACCGCCCATGCCTGATCCAAGACCATTCCGCCGGGGTGAGTAAAAGGGGTTGGAACCCAGACCGGGGTTATTCCCATACCGAATGTTGCGGTTGGTGAAGTTTGTGGCGGCGGTTGTAGTTGTGGCTATAGTCTCGGTGTCCGAATCTCGCTCATAATCAGACACGGGGTCGATTTGCTTTAGAGATTCCATAGTGAAACTATGTGGGTTTCTATTTTGGTTGAAGGTGTTCTGACTGGCAGCGGGGAACGAGTGGACAGTTCGAGACGAGGTAAGCCCATACTGTGGCACGGAAGGTAATGCTGAAGAGAAACTGGTGGCCGCATCGGTATCGCCAAATGAAAGTGGAGGAGCGGATGGTTGTGACTCAAATGATCGCACAGGGGCGCTGCTGACTCGAGGCTCAGGTGTAGACTTGGATGAAGATTGACTTGTGGGCCAGTCAAGGGCACCCAATTGAGTCTGATGCGGTGATTGTAGTTGCGGCTGTGGTGATACGGATCCTGAGTGCTGCCGGCTTTCTAATCTGGCCTTATTGTAGAAGGATAATACATTCATAGTTTCCTGTGCGGCCATGAAAATTAGGAGTAGTTTGCCGTAGCGATCGAAGTAGTCCCGGTTAAGCGAAACTGTGGGCAGATGTGCCCCCATGTGAACAGCGGCGCCAAGTTCCGTGATAGAAATCAAGATCTCCATGCCATTCCATTGCACAAGAGGCCTTTTTACCATGGTGATCAAAGCGAACCCAGCAACAAGGCTTGCCGCGCCTAGGGCAGCGATCTCCACATAATTCCCTGGAATCAAGACCTGGTGATTCTGAGAGATTGTCCATGCGCTGATAAAGCTGACTAGCAGACCTAGTCGGAGACACCCATAAAAGAGATAACTTTGCGTTTCATCGAGGCGCGTGTTCCGCGGTTGCTGAGACCAGCCAGGTCCTTGGGCAGCATCAGACTGGAAATTAAAGGCACGGTCAAACAGTGTTTCCAGCCCAGTAGATGTATCATGATCATTAGGAGGAAAGAACTTTGGTTCCTTGAACACTGGTTCAGCATCGGCACGCCTTTGCTGCCATTGGCCTTGCGGTTGGGTAGTACTGTGGTGGAACGGATTAGGCTGAATCACTTGCTCGATGGGCTTTGTTGAAGTCTGGGTGCGAAGCTTCCACGCAGGAGGCATCGGGGCTGCTGGGATCTGCCCCTGAAATGGATGGGGACCATCGAGCACTGACGGCTGATCTCGCTGTGTCACAGTGGGCCGGAGGTTATGGGTAATAGAAGGGGACCAATCCATGCCATCATTATCCGTAAGATGGGAGGCAACCGTAAGCGACTGCTCGACGGGCGACGGAGATTGACGCTGGGCCAATTTGTCAATAGGAAAGCGCTGCTGGAATCCACCAATGTTCGCCTTCGGTGTTCCGGCAGATCTTGTGATGCGAGTGGACACAGGTGACTCGGGCAGTGCAGAAGAAGACGCTTTGGGGCTTTCGAATTGAGTTTCCCAGCTGTTATCAGACCAATTGACAAGTGGACGACTAGAGTAGCTGACAACATGTCGAGAGAACAAAACCGACTACCATAATTAGCAAATGGAAAGTTCAAGGGGGAAAACAAGCTTACCAGAACAGTGAAAACCGACATCAAAGCATGGAAGGCCGGAACCAATTTGGGTTCTAACCCACTGGCAGACGGATCCTTGACTACTGCCCAGAAAACACACCGTACCACCATGACGATGAGTTGAGCTTGGTAGTACTCTGCAAGACCGCGGAATTTACCGGGCATTCCTTCTATCTTCATGCGCAGCTTTGGATTCCACCAGAGCGAAAGTGCACCTGCAATTAATGCCAGACCGGCAGTTGGTGCTAGATCAGGCGAACAATCGCTAGGAATGCGCTGTAAACGAATAGACTGGTTGACGCACGAGATCACAGAGTTGGGTGCCATTGGAGATCGTCCGGTGTCGGGTAAATAATCGAAACTTGGCGAGATCTGGGAGAGGGTGGCTACACTGATCAAGTTCCACACTAGTTGACCAGCAATACTAGCCCAATATGCAAGTGCGCCCACAAAAAGAAGCAAGCTTCTCCAGCTCCGGTTCCTTGCCTGTCGTGATTCTCGGTTTGCTCGGCTTTGTTCCATCATGCGCCTGAGGTGATCCGATTTCGCTTCGTAGCCAGCTCTTCTGATGCGAGATTTCACAACGGGCTCGCAAGACTCGCAAACCTGGGGGTATCGGTCCTCCAGGCGTCTGCGGAACTGCTCATACCCGCGTTCGTATTCGCTATCGGTGGGATCGTCTGAGGGGGGGAAAGTAGGAAGCCAGTGAGCTCGTAAATAAATGCTGGTTCCGAGCACATTTGGCGCAAAATGACTGAGATCCACCGAAGTCAGTGGATTCGAAGGGCGAGTCTGATGCGCCAGGCGCGTAGACTTCAGCGTTGGTGACCACAGCTGGTGGGTCGGTGATTTCTCCTTTCTTTTAGAGACCAGTCATTAATATAATTCAGGTAGATTCGAGGCAAGGATCAGTGAGCGTACCTCGTCGAAGAAGTTATCAGCTTCACAATGTTCACAGCGGAAATTGCGAACAGGCCCGCGATGAAAATGAGCAGACCGCTGCCCACAATAAAAGCAGGTCAAACGCTTAGAAAATAGAGAAGCCATGACATAGTAACATGGAGGAAAACACAAGTGAAAGCGTTGGTGTAAACAAGGGAGATGGTCCCGGATGCCAAAGAGAGGAAAATAAAACAAAGTCGGAGCTTGCACGTGCGGGGGACGTGTATGGAGTACCGCGACTCCAATTTTGTCCACGAAGATCTGCAACTTGAGCTCCTGCGCTTGACTGCCTTTATTGCCATTGTCGTTTCTTCTTTTTTCATTCTCTTTCTATTATTCTTCGGCTCCATTCTTATGATAATGATGCACTGAAATCCTCGGGCTGTCTCACCGAACTCTTGAGACCATACAACAGCGGTCCAAGATGCCCTTATCTTTTGCTTCTTTATCCTTCTGGGACCTGCTCCTGTGGTGTTTTGTCCTGGCAATTGCACTTGGGGCCAGCATACTTCTCGTAAGTACCGTTTACCCATACCATTGAATCAATCTAACTTGTCTTTCTCTCCTAGATTCTACTCATCTCCCTCACGATCTCCCAGAATATCATTCCCTCCAAATGTCGCCCAAGGGGATCTCCTACCCACCTATTGGTAGTCCTTGGAAGTGGTGGTCATACAGCTGAGATGCTCTACATGCTCGAGCGCATGAATTTCGACCCCCAAATTTACACGTATCGGACATACCTCGTGAGCTCCGGAGATAACTTCAGCGCAGACAAAGCCAAGGATTTTGAGGCTCAACATGTACAAAATTCTGAGGGCCATACCCATAACAAGAATTACACCATTGTCACAGTTCCACGTGCCCGACGGGTCCATCAATCTTATCTCACCGCGCCATTCTCTACGCTTCAATGCTTCTGGGCTTGTCTCAATGTTCTTCGCGGACTTCACCCGGACCAAAAGCTCCCAAAGGAATACAGCTCGCCTTACCCTGATTTGATCCTCACAAACGGTCCCGCTACAGCAGTCTGCGTTGTCGCAGGTGCTAAACTTATCCGTTTCTTTCTATGTTTGGCCAAATGCACTGCCTTGTGTCTGGGTCTGCGAACACTCTCCTCGTTTGCATCGGCACCAAAGCTGCGCACTATTTACATCGAATCATGGGCCCGGGTGAGCTCGCTCAGTATCTCCGGTGTCTTGCTGTTGCCAATGGCCGACCGTTTTCTCGTTCAATGGCCTGCCCAGGCCGGACGACGGGCCTGGTGGGGGATGAAGAGAACGCAATATACAGGATGGCTTGTGATCTAAGCACCGTGCATTTCCACCGGCTTGGTCTGTTTCAACAGCATCTTTGATATAATAGTTGCAGATATCACAGGTAATGATGTTCTCACCAGGTAGGTACCTAGGTAAGAAATGAATTGATTGACAAGAAACGTGGGATCTATTTCTGCACTGGTTCCCTCTCCGTGCACACTAAATGTAGGGATTTAAACCTAACTCTGTAGTGTAAGAAGTCTATAATTCGTGATCATTGTTATGGGATTTTGGACTGTTGAATGCAGATGTAGAAATCCCAATATGTTTAGACTGTTTTTCAGGTACTGTGTGTATAGTAACCATTAAATAGAGTACATATGGACCTAGGTCGCTCTACATCCATGTATGTAGGCTTTGCTTCAGGGCTATCGGCTATCTTAGCTGCCGCTGATAGGTAAATTTCAGTCCTCAGACTCACCTGGGCAGTGAGAGATTAGAGGTATCTATTATTGAGCATCGAGTCCACGCTTTAGTCTATACCTCAAGGAGAACTCGGCCCTCATGATAATATTCATTTGTTGTTCTTTGATAGTTCTAATCATAGTAGTATTTTGTTTGTCTTTTGGGACTGGCTAGACGCCATAGTGATCTTAAGGAATACATTGCTATATACATACTAGGTCATGTTGACCATCAGTATGGAAAATCAAGGTAAGCTATCCCCCGTAGTAAGATAGCGACCTTGCACTTAGAGGCTACATACATCGTAAGATACAAACAGCTCAATCTAACTAGATCAATCATACCAACGCCAATCCCATGCTTACCACCAAAGAGATCACCGCCAAGTTCCAGGAAACCCCGATGACAGTCCCTGGACTTTCAGGCGTAGCCTGAAAGCTCACAAGAGACTCATTGGAACTCGCCGCTCTAGTAACAAGAATCCGCGTAGAATTCGCAGCATCATAAGCACCCGTGAACACGATATTATAAGTAACATTCGCCGTCTTATGCTCCTTGTACCCCTCATCCCTGAACCACCCAACCGCAGACCCCGAAACATTCAACTGAATAGTCTGATTAGTCAAAGACCCATTGATATCCAATTTCACGGAATCCATCGCCTCGTCGGTAGTATCGCCCGTAGTATTCCTCGTCGACCAATCAACCGTCGTACTGAAGCCCGAAGTTCCAATTCCATGTCCGTGTACCTGGACTGTGCCTATCTATATATGTAGTTAGTGTGTTAGGTATAGAAAAAGCATTCCGAAGCCGTTCCTTAACCACTGAGAAAGGTTCCCGGGAAATGGTCACTAAATGGTTGTCTATGCTGGAAGAGCCAACTCAATATGACTTTCTTCTCTTCCAGTCTAATGATTGTCCAAAGCTCAGCCTGTTAATTGGCAAATTTCAAATGTCAATTGTCAAATGTACCTTGATCGAGCCTACCCCGCATCGGACACTCGGCAATTCCTTCAACTTATTTATGTATTTCAATCTTATGTCCCTCTGTCTCTTCTTTTCCCAACAAAGCAATTGAGCTTGATCTCGAATATATTCTACTCACCATGCCCTACTCCTTGTCGGGTCGCAATGTTTTGATCACCGGTGGCTCTCGGTATGAATCCTCAATTGGAGCATTAAGCTATGCTCTGGTCAATAAGCTAATCTCATTTAACAGAGGGCTAGGTGCTCTCTCAGCTGAGAAATTTGCCTCTGAGGGAAGCAACGTTGCTATCAACTATATGTCCAGCAAGGAAATTGCGGAGAAGCTTGCCTCGGACATTGCAAGCAAATATGGTGTAAAGACAGTGGTTATTCAAGGTGTAAGGCACTCAAATTCCATGTACATGGAATATTTCGTCTAAAGCTGAGCCGCTGACATGATCTTGCATCTGGAAACAGGATGCCGGAGTCAAAGATGACTGTATCAACGCCGTTAAAACCACCATTGAGAAGCTAGGTGGCTTGGATATTATTATCTCAAATGCCGTGAGTTATACAGACAATCCCAAGAGGATGTAAAATACTGATATATGAGAAGGGATGGACAAAAATGACCAATTTCGGCGATCTTGATGCCATGGACGATGATGACTGGGATAAGGTACCGAATGCGCCCTTCGTGATGGAGGTTTTGGTTTGACTGACTATTTAATCAGTGCTGGTCGGTCAATGTCAAGAGCAGCTTTTATCTGTTCAAGGCAGCTTTGCCAACGTTCAATGCGAACCCGGAAGGTGGTGTTTTCCTCATCACAGCCTCAATTGCGGTAAGCTGCCAAAACATGCCAAACGGCCTTGAACTGTCCACTGCTATAGAAACGTTGGAATGCTAATTGCCGGGCTTTTACTAGGGTGTCATGGCAAGTGGTAGCAGCTTGCCTTATGCTGTCTCAAAAGCAGCATGTATGCTATCATTCCTTGAAATCATGCTGTTTGATTACTGACTCTGTATCGCCCAGCTATCCATCTCATGAAGTGTCTGGCTAAGAGCCAAGGCGCGAAAATTCGCGTCAATGCTATTCTTCCTGGTCTGTTGCTCACTGAATGGGTAAGTAGCACATGCTCAACACTAGCATTGATGAATACTGAGGATATCCCAGGGTCAACGCTTCCCGGCCGATACCATCGAGAGCTGGACAAATGCAACAACCCTCAAGCGAGCGGTAAGTAATTCTGGTCTCTCCAACCTTAAAAGGACTCTGTGTGCTAATGAATCCTGCTATAGCCCGAGGTGGAAGACTGCGCGGACATGTTTATCACATTGGCCAAGAATGCTTCTATAACCGGTCAAACGGTTCAGATTGGTATGAGTCTCAAGTCCAGCGGGTTGATTTGAAACTGACAATCTTTTTAGATTCTGGCTTCGGGAACTGATAGAAATGAGGAAACGGAATCGTATTTATTAGAACAGAGGTGATAGTACACAGAAGTTTATCATATTTATACAAGAGAGTTGCGGAAAGGAGTCAACTCCCGGCCTTCATATTGGAATGCTCGATCACCGAACATGCGAGCCTTGATAGCAGCCCGCAGACCCTCTGCATCTTGTTCGCCTTCCACTTTCATTCGGTTGATGCGCAGAACCTTGCCATTAGCAGTAAAAACGTATAACTGCCGTGTCTTCTTTGGCTCGACAGGGTGGGGAGCATTTGTAAACGGCAGACCTGGGAGGATTGAGAACGAATCGCATCCCTTGGGCGGGTCAACCTCCTCGATATCTGTGAGAATGACTCGTTTCTGTTGGAATGACAGAGGTCCATCTACAGGATTGCTTGCACAGAGGGCCTTGCTCCAGAGAGGTCCAATCACTCGGTTACGTCTGTTGATATCTGCCAAGGTCCAGTTTGCCCAGTTGATGTGCCGGTCCTCTGGTGTGATTTTGGGAGCGTGTTTCAACTTTCCGGTCTGTTCAGCACCGGAATCTGCAATGGGAGGGACGAATAGTCCCTTTTCAATGCTTTCCACGAGCATTTGTGCGCCTTTAGGTGCAACGAAGTCCACCAACTCGGGAACGGTGCAGGACTCTGGATTGGGGATGACGAACCCGGGAGGCGGTGTCTGTGATAATATCACTCCGTGATCAAAGTGTTTTGAGTGCAAGGTCTGAACCGTCACGCCAGTGGTGGTCTCGCCGGCGAGAAGAGTATGATGAAGCGGTGCAGGACCACGGAAGCTAATCAATCAGGTCAATCGTCTTACTCTTCGATTCTGAACATATAACAATCGCATACTTTGGTAGTAACGAGGGGTGCACATTCAAGCCTCCATACTTGGCACCATTCAATATGCGCGGCGGAACAAAAAGTCCAAATGACACAGCAATCACCAAGTTTATGTGACCGTTCGGGGAGGTTGGCGGCTAGCACAGTCAGCGAGAAGATACCAATTGTGTTGAGTTTTAGTATTACCGTCCATCCAGTGAAGGTATCAATCTCATGGATCGGAAGGGAGAGAGCAGATGCGGCCGCTTTGAGCGGAACTGAGGGAAATTGAATCAGAAAACACGGCCCTTCAAGGAAGCGTAAATTGAAGCTAACCTTCCCGAATTTGCTTCAGTCCTCTTCCAACTCTCTTTCCAGGTCTACACACGACATCAATAGAAGAAATACGCTCCGGCTGTTTCAAATGATAAGCATGGAGAGCTTTCAAGTGGGCGATACTAAATTCATCAGAGCCGCAAAAGAGAATGCGGAGCGGATCGGAGGTCTTGGTAGCATATGACCTGAAGACAAGCCCTCGAAGGACCAACGGTCTCTTGCAGAGACGTAGGCTCCCTGGGCCTGGAATAATCCACATGATTCTGGTGGGTAATTGCCAGAAGTTGAAAAGCCACAGGGGAGAAAGTTGAAGCTTCCATAGTAGCTTATCGATAAACCACGTGATGTCAACATCCACCCCAGATCCCACTTCGTATGCATCTGTCTTTCAACCATTACCGTTGTTGCCTGTCTGGTGCGACCTGCAGATCCAACGATGCGATGCCTGAAAGCGATCATGATTCGGTGATTCCAGCCCAACTCTCGTACCTTGCCATCTATAACCCGAGCCTCGGACCTACCGACGAGACGATAGCGGACCAGATCGTGTTCTATACTTCGAAATCGAGCTATGCACGGCGCATCGATGGCTCCACAGCAGAAGGTGAAGCAAACAAATGCCTTGAAGATGAACAGAATGAGAGATTGCGCCAGATAGGTCTGGCGCAGGGCATGGTCAACTTTGCTAGGTAGGCATCCCCGCAAACCCCGCAAATGAATTACCCTAATCGTGCTTGATCTGCAGCAACTTCTCGGCTGGAAAGACACTGGAATATGTTGAAACAGACAAAGCGTGGGTTGTTTTGCTTGAGTTGGAGAAGGACTGGTGGGTTGTTGCTGTAAGTGGTTGAGATGACGGCCCAGATCACAGAGCTTATGTTAAGTTAGTCTATCGACCTGACTCGAATTCCCGCCGATCCAGCCCAGAGATCTTCGGGGGAATCTGACTCTCCGGCATTTCATTATTCCTCACGAGAGATGGGACCGCCACCTCTACTGATCCAGCAATTACGTCGCGCCCATTCGGAATTCCTCCTACACCACAACTTCAAATTGGACGACATCCTCCATCAAGTCGGCAGGTCCACATTTTGTCTGTTCCTTGAGCGTTTCTGGGAGAAGTTTGCGTGGAATTGGGAACTTCTGTTGACCGGAAACCCAATTGTCGATATCTATAATGGCATCAAACTCTCTGCGGGAGGAGAGTTGGGGATCGGCGTCGGGGAGGAAGAGTGGGGCAGCGGGGAAAGAGAAGTACTTGAAGACTTTGTGACAAGGACCGATGGCTTAGTGGACTTGGTTGTCTCCAGGTTTGGTGATCCATCCCCACAGTTCGAGGGGTCTTCGACTTTGACAGGCTCAAATGTCCAAAGTCGATGGCTTGGGGCAGATAACGATCCTCGACCATCCGATGGTGTGGTATTTACTGGTGTCGGCGCTCTTTCTCGGCACTCACTAGCGCATGTATCACACTGGATGGAATGCATTTATCGGTTTGGGGATGCTGCGTATGGAGTTGGGCGGGACCCAACGTCGCTGCGTCGCCGTAAACCACGAAAGCAGCGTGGAAGGCAAATTTCGGAAGATTCCCCTCATCCCTCCACGCCGAATCGCAATTTTACGCCAGGTATACCTCGTCCGCTCATAACAGCAGCACCGCAACCACCCCCAGAAGTCGTTGAGGAGAATCAAACAGGAACAAGAAATGAGGCATCGCCACTTCGCACCGAGCAAAACAGCGAGAACCAAGGGTTTCCAACAGAGGCAGTCATGAAATATCTCACTCTCGGATATGGCTCCTCATGGAGTTTCTCTCCAAAGTCGACATCTACGCCGCCTGAAAGTTCTACCCCAATGCAAGATGAATCCAATTCAAACATCTCAAACCCGAAAAATCAGCCCATTAGTGCTGGACAATCACCTCAGGCCGGTGTAAAACATCGAAACAGCACGAGGAACGGTCCTTCGGGTCATTTCGTTCTTGGACCTCGTGATGATCTAGAAAAACTGGATGATTTAGAAGAGGGAAGCCCAGAGCCCGAATCGGAGAACGGCCAGCCCAAGACTCGGATAGTGCATAGAACTCTACATGTGCACCTAGGGGATGGTTCAGATACTACTCCGACAAAGCTCCAAGTCGTGATATATGTGGTATGTGCTTTTCTTATTGTCCCATGCGAATCAACTCGCTAATACACCACCACCCCAGCATCAACCATTTATGTTTACATTCCTCTTTGATCCTCAAACACCAGCATTATCATCACCATCACTATACTCAAGCATGCATCACCAACTCGGTCCTCTTCAGAAACCCCTTCTATCATCAACATCCCCAACAATGGCGGCCTCTCGAATCGCCATGTCCGAGACTTCCCCGGACCCTAATAAACGATTCTCCACTCGAGCCCAGCCAGTTTACGATCTAGTCTACGACCCATCTAACCTAACCATCCGCTCCTCCATCCCTAACATTCCCAACATGAACATCACCTCCCCCTCCACCCAGCCAACCAATTCACCAGCCCGTTCCCCATCCCCTTCCCCTTCCCAATCATCAACACCATCCTGGTCCCGCATTGAAAGCCTAGCAATCCACCACCGCCTCTTATCAACACACACAGACACGCGGTCCCGCCCGCAAGAGCTCGAACGCACAAGCAAAACCCACCGCGGATGGTGGGTCGTCTGGGTCCGCATACCACACAGCACAACCCAAACTCCAACCGCGCTATCTGCCACTTCTTCATCCGTTGCCCTCTCATCTATAGCCAACAACGATGACTTCTTCCCCGCAAATCAGTCCCAAGCGCACCCTGCTCCTCCGCCTCAGGAGGCCTTCCTCGTCCGCAAAGCGAGTGACTACATCTCTCCGGCAAACCATGGCCGTGTCAGCAGTGGCGCTCGCTTCTTCCGTGATCTAGGCGGTGCGTCTTCTTCCGCAGGCTTCACGGGGTCTTCCCGTGCTGCGGATATGGCGCCATCGAAGCTGGTTGAGGGGCTTGGCATGGACGCTAGACGCTATATTGAGGGCCTGCTGAGTTTGAATCGGTAGTTGAGATGGGGCTTAGTGGAGTGGAGTGTGGAGTTGTGGGTTTCTTCCTATGCGTGTTTACAGAAATATGTATGTATATAAATATCCTGCTATAAACAACGATGGTTGAACATGGATATGGAAATTGTTTAAATACTCTAGTGGTTGGAAGCATTGAAATATATACAGCTAGCTTTACGGACACTGGATTACGCAGACTGCCGGATTACGCATGGGAAGGTACACATATCAGATGGAAACAGACAGTACCATGCATAAGCTGTAACATAAAAACAAATGTAGTAAAGGAGGGAGAGAAAACAGTAAAAGCCGAATCAAGCTCTTCGCGTATGGGGAGATAACCGCAGGGACAAGAATCTATGACACAGGGGGAACTCGACCAGGGAAGGCGAGTCACGGCGTTGACCAAATTGCACAACGGGTGCTACACTGAATGGCTTCCCCTCTTCATCTCCTGGTTGTTCCAATTCTGGGTTCTTTTTTTCGGTGCTTTTCTGTTGGTTTATAGCTGCCACCTCAACGTAGCGGTTTGGCATTTGAATATTCACGGCGTCGGAACGAGAGGAAAAGAAAAAGAAAAGCCCACAGGGTTATGATGAAGACAACGCCTCCCTAGACAAATTCTGCAAATAAAGGCAAAAGAAAAACACAAGGTCGACCAGCTGAATTGTGGGGGGAGACCTCCACGACTCGGGTGCCCGGATTCGATATTATCCACAATTTCGCATGCAGGCCATGAAGCCCTCCTCCTTTCCGAGAACAACGTCACCAATTGTTTTTCGTGGAGGCTCTCATACATATGATCTCTACTCGAGCCAGACCACCTCGACAATTGGTTCGTTTAGAGAATCAGGCAGCCCTTGCCAGGCTTGCGGCCTCCCTTGCCCTTAACGGCCTTCAGGAGAGCAGCACGAGTGGCAGCCTCGAAGACTTCACGGACACCCTCGTTGGTGCGGGCCGAGCACTCGAGGTACTTGTAGGCGCCGATCTTCTTGCGGACTTCCTCACCCTGTGATTATACATTAGTTTGTGATGGATTCACCACGGAATCGGAAAATCGTACCTGGTCTTGGGAAACGGGGCGCTGGGAGGTCTTGGCAAGCTCGTCAATAGTCTTGCGGTCGTCGCGAAGATCCTTCTTGCAGCCGACGAGGATAATAGGGAGACCCTGGCAGAAGTGCAGAACTTCGGAGATCCACTATTATAGTACGTCAGTACATTCGTTCCAGTCTACACCCAAAAACTTCTTTGCTTCGGAATGTGCAATCGATTAGAGATGAGACACGCACCTTCTCCTGGACGTTGTCGAGCGAATCGGGGGAGTCCACAGCGAAACAGATCAGGATAACATGTGAGTCGGGGTATGAGAGAGGACGGAGACGGTCGTAATCTTCCTGGCCAGCAGTATCCCAAAGAGCGAGCTCGACGTGCTTGTTATCAACCTCGACATCGGCGACGTAGTTCTCGAAGACTGTGGGGACGTAGACCTGACGGAAACAAAGTCAGATTATCCTTCTTGAATTATGCCTCTCCGGCGTATATCCCTAGGAAATGGAACGTGGTTTCGGTGATCGGAATTTCGAGTATGGATAGAAGCTTACCTCGGGGAAGGTGCCCTTGGAGAAAACACTGTGAACTTCAGTCAGCCGGCCGAGCCAACAAGTAAACGCCGAGGTTGGGGGAAGCGCCCTCGATAAGGGAGCCACTTTCAATACTCACATGAGCAGACAGGTCTTACCGCAGGCACCATCGCCGACGATGACGAGCTTGCGACGGATCTCGGCCATCTTGATAAGGAACAAGTCAGTATAGGGGCAAATAAGCAGGAAAGAGCCAGGGAGCCCCGCAAGTCCTAGAGATCCAAGAATGAAGAATTTCTACAGGCATGAGGGGGTGATAGAGGCAAGACGATCGAGAAGAAAGGGCGAAGCCAGGCTCCCGAGGAGGGGGAAAAGGAAAAGGGTGATCCCATACAGTGTTCAAAGGCGCAACGGTGTAGTAGATTTAATGCAGGAAATCAGCTAGTGCCAGCAGCAATAGCTCTAGAGAAATGAGGAAGATGGAGTAGGTATTTCCGATGGGAAGCGATGAAAAAAAGACGATGGAATGATGATTTGGAGGTGGAGGAGAGAAAGATAGAAGACCAGGCCAGACAACGGAGGGCGGTGGCAGTATACGGTATTTGTTGTTGCCAGTTGGTGTATCGGTATTGTGGCTTTTCCCCCTGGAGGAGTTTCTTGCAAAAAGTCTAGAAGAGGTATTGACTTGGGTATGCAGCCTTAAATGTACTGCCTCAGTACATTGTACAGCTTTTGGTATCGGTATGCATGTGTATATAAGTACGTTACCTTTACGGGATACTTCGTACATACTATGCCAACACTCTACAATGAGCCCACATACCCATGTGTACCCCCTGAGTTTCAGGCTTCCTTTTTTTTTACATGTGGCTTATACCATCTCCCCCTTTCCAAGGTTAAGAAGAGAGAAAAAGAGAGAACTTAAATGGTACACAGCCCTAAATATGTGTGGCTGAGGCCCAAAAAAAAACCCGCTCCATCCACATCACCCGGCCCACTTTTGTCAGTTGGCTGCCCACACAGCCAGCACAGCCACCCGTGGCTATGAAATTTGGTATCTGATATGAGCAAAATGTGATATCACCTGGGCAGTCCTCTGATGGTGCTATCCGATCTGAATTTCACTAATACCCTCTGGCTTTCGCTATGGAGTGGCTCAGTGGCTCATGTGTTCTCTTTGAGAACTTGAGGAACAAACCCAACCCAGTCCATTCATTCAATCATCACCTAAAACCTACATTTATGGGGAAATCCCAAGGTACCTACATATCCAGCAACATTCACCGCATAAAAGATAAAGGGCTACTATGACAATTTCTTAGCTCCACGCCCTTGAATTTCACATACAATGTACAATGTACCACCCTACCGGGACGTGCAAATTTCTATGGGCAGTGCTCCTACGCGGCTGCCTCAGGGCTATGGGAGTATACTGGAAACCTTTACCCAAAATGCTTGATTTGACCAGTGAAGATCGCTCCGATAGTTCCCTGCATCTCAGTTGCTTCTGGCGTTGATCTGCTCCGCGGGAACTCTCGGTATGTACTGACTACGTTGTGGGTGGAGGTTTCCAACGATCTTATGCTCTCTGCTGGCAACCCTTGTCTCATTTGCTACCGCATCCAGGGGGGTCCCAACTAAGTTAAATGTGTCGTCAACCCATTGGGGGAAATAAATCATGAAATTTTGATCTTTTATTCAACCAAATCATCAAAACTTTACCCCCTTCGCTTGCTTCTGGGCTTACATGACTTCACAACATTCTTGAGGCTGCTGTTTTGAAAGTGGAGTTGATATATTGCCAGCTCCAATGATCGCGTTGCGCCGGCTAAAAATAGTAAACAGGGGCCAAATCCTGGAGCTTGCGCCCACAAGCCACAAGCCGTTAAGTCGTTTTTCGGAAACCAAAAATAGGAGAGCATAATCCTTTCGAGGGAAAATGTGAACCATTTAGCGCTCCATTGCATCAACGTCAATATAATCTACTCGCTTATAGAATATTTATCGGTGTTGGTTCATTTGCTCAAAGTGGATTAATGTCACAATTTCGATAGGCGTGATATGGTGGTGGACTTGACGATTGATCCAACATACAAATAACACAACCCTATAGATTTCCTTCCTCATCTCGAACCCCAGGTTTTGACTAATGACAAGGTTGAAGCACCCCAGACTTCGAGGACAAGTCAATCAAGAGCAGAAATGCATGAGCAAATCCCGCTCACAAAAAGACTTTTCAATCCAGTTCCACGTCTTGATACTCGTGGACCACACAACATACCAATTTCTACGAAAAGGACCTGGTGTCTACTTTTTGACCCAGCTTTTCTTGCGCCCAACAAGAATCGAAAAGTCAATGTTTTTGTTCTTCGCGCCCGCCTTCGGCATTTCACCGGCTCCAATAATCATCTTTCAAGTTTTGCGCGATATCACTCTCTAAAGCTACGATGCCGCGCTGGTACCTCTCTTCTATGGTCTCCTACAGTTCCAATGAAGCAGCGTCCAACAATGATCTCAAACTATGTGGCATGAGCTTGAATGCACATCTCGCAATCCATGCTTGTCCTTCTTGATTTCCCGAAGATAGTTGCGGAAAAGTGTAGTCCTCTGGTCGGCATTCGGAAACTAAATGAGCTCTGCTAGGAAACGACCCGTACGGGGAACCAGAAGGTCCCAAACAAAGATGACTTTACGCATTGTCGAGCGACACTGTTCAACGGCCATCAGTAATCCCCGGATCCTCAGGTATACACCTTTAATCATGGTGTTGCCTGAATATCTTTTGGATATCACGATGGCATCCATTCACCTCGGTATGGTTTCTATGTGGATTATGGCCCTGGGATTTCGAGTGTGACCAGTGAGCTGTGACGGAGAGCTCCTTGTACAGAAATATATTCATAACCTCTTGAGTTTTATTGAGATTTTTGTTTTGTTTTTGTTGGCGTTGTTGAGCCTGTCGATCGTTCCTAGCCTTCATTGTCATTTTCCATGGGGAGTATCTTCTTTCTTCAAATAGAGAAAGTTACCTGTAACTAAATTCCAAAAAGAATATTAAAAGTTGTCGTTTGAATCACCAACTAGCATGTAGTTACAATGCAGAGTGAGGGCTGATCTCGATATACTTGAATGTTTACACCTGGGCAGGCGGTCCCAGGGCGGCTTGTGCTGACATAATACATATTGACCTTGATCACGTGCCCCGTCGGACACCCTCAATTTTCGACCCGCAAATCGGGGATTCTGAGGCAGAGACAACGTTCGGCCATTGCTGGATCACAACACCCAATATGCAGAGAGTTATCCAGCGGACAGCTTCAGCCCGGAAGCAGGCGCTTAAAAAAACCAACAAAGCTCATGAACGACAAGAATTGTTGGACCGTGTTGGGATTCGGCGAGCACGGAAGGACTTCGGCGGCGCGCTGTCTAGTCAATTCCAAGCAGCACGAAAGAACCGCTGGGAAGATTGGGAAAAGGGGCCTCTTGCCCCCATGCGAGACTCTGGTCTGCACCGCACTACATATGGTGGTCAGGATGCTTCCGTCCTGCACCCGCCGCGCCTCCCTAAGCACGAACAGCGGAGGCATGTCCTCTTCGCTGAAGGTGACCGAGTCTGTGTTGTGCGAGGACGGGATCAGGGAAAGATCAATGTGATTCAGCAGGTCAACCGGGACAGTGAGACTGTCCTCATCAAGGGTATCAACATGGTATGTCCCCGGCGGACCAGTCATCCAGGTCAATGACCTCTTGGTCACTAAAACAAATTGCTCACTGGTGTTTCTCAATTAGGCCGACGTGATCATCCCCCCATGGGCCAAAGACAGATTGGGACACACAGGTGATACCCAACCACAGTCCTTCCCCGTATCCTTCGACGACATCCGACACGTCATTCCGCTGGAAGATACAAAGACTGGAAAGATGCAGAACGTCATTGTCCAGCACGCTTATGCCGCTGGGCCGTACACCGAGCGAAGTGAACACAGCAAGCTCCCAAGATTCACTCGCTATGTCTCCGGCTTGGACGTCGAAATCCCTTGGCCATTGGAGGAAGAGCCTGTCATCACCGACGGCGAGATGGACACATCACGAATGGCGGTTGAGGCCAGCACATTCACACCCACACTGGAGCAGCCACCTATGCCCTCAACCGTCATTGATGAGCTGCGCAACAAATACTCCAGATTCCGCACTCGACACGATCCGGAATACCTGAAAGAGAAGATGAAGGAGGACTATCGCAAGGAATACAGAAAAACTGTCTCCATGATGACACCGAAGACAGATGCCAAAAACATGAAGATTGCTCAGATCGCGGAAGCAAGGAAGGCGAGATTGGATACTGACGGGAATGGGATATTGACGCCGGATGCCATCGACTTCATTAACAAGCACATCCAAAGCGAGCGTCTCGAGAAGCCAAAGAAGTCCAAGAAGTCAAAGTCCAAGCAGACTGCTTGATTGGGCGAAGAAGATGGAAGGAGGAGGATGAGGTTTTTTTCCCTGTAGCATTGTGTACACACACCACTGTATTCTAGTATGGAGCTTTGTATTCACTCATATATCTATTTCTTGATAAATTTATTTCGGATTTGTATCATTTAAATTCATAAAGTACGTAGATATCCGTACTCCGTACCTGATCCCAAGTTAGGGTTCCAGTACCAATGCGGATACTTCGGGTCCACTCTTACGTTCATCCATCCCCCAATTCTCCGACTAACCTGCATCTCCCTGCACTGCTGTTCTCTTGAACCAAAGCAGTCGCAAAAAACATGGCATTTGCCTCGATTAATTCTACGGGCGCGCCCATCGCCGCCATCGAGGAGGCATTTGCGACGGAACCCTTGCTGAAGAAGCGCGTCTACGATGCGATCGGTGCGTAGTTAACAGCGCACCCACGTCCCCATTCGATGACCCCGTCGACCTCCTGCTGACCGTCGCCAATGGGTTTTATCGTTTAGGCACAACACCGCAGCACAAACCTCTACTCGAAGATCTTGCGAAATATACCTCCAGCCTGCTGGCCAGGACTGCCAACACTACCCTCCCTTCGCGGCCCCCAGTCGCTGATGAGCCTGCCGCTAAAAAGCGCAAGCTTCAGAATGGAGACTCCGGGGAGACTGCGCAGGCGTCAGTCAACCTGAAAGATGCCAATGCGCCAGTTCAGTATTATGTTCAAGATGTTTCGTTTTCTACGCCGCAGAGGAAGAAGCTTACACTCGAGATCACTGCTGGACATAAGTATCTTCGGGCAAGGAATCAAGCTACGAAAGAGATTGAATTCGGTGTTTCTATGGACAAGATTCGTGAGTTTAAACCGGAAAAAATTATTTTAAGAGGAGTTGCTAACATGACCTATTACTAAATTAGGCCATGCCCTCTGTCTTCCTGTGCCCGAGAAGACACAGAAACAGTTCAATTTTTGTATCATTCCCGAGTACGCCGACGGTATCACACCCCCGCCCGAGGGAACAGCAGCCTCTGAAGCTATGGTGTTTACGATAGCCGATGGGCCAGCCAAGGCTGCATTCTCAGGAAATGAGGAGCAGCTTGGCCACGGTCCCGGTGAATCGGCCGAGGCATTTATTCGCAAAATTCTGAATGAGAACATGCCTCACACCAATGTTGTGCGCCCCGATGATAAACAGTTTGTCAGTGCCATGCCTGAGGCGCACCGAAAGGG